TCCATGGAAGCCACAGAGCTCGAATTAGGGTGGCTGCTGCTCTTCCTGGAGCTCAAGCTGGGTCAAGGGGAGACACCTCGGGAGCATGGCTGCTATTTTAACTCCCCAGGCTTCCTCGGAGGCGAGGGCCGCCTGCCGCACAACTTCTGCCCTGCTCCTCTGGGCCCTGCGATGCCCAGTCCTAGCGTGCGTCCTCAGACACCTCTCTTCCCTGGGACACCGCTCTTTTGCATGGGCTCACTGCAGCTAATGATCAGGGCCCCAGACAAAGGCCAGGATCGCGGACACAGCTAGGCTCTGATCACCTCCAAACCCCAAAGGTGTGGCCCAGTCATCTCTGTGGGGAGTTACCTGGCAACTGGAGAGGTTGCGTGTTAGATCCCAAGAATGCTTCCTCACAGTTCCTGTCCTTAATGAGACAGAGGGGCCAGCCGCAGGTAATTTAGCCCTGAGCTGAGGGTCCAGACAGGAGACTTCACTAGTCAAAGGCTGGAGCACTAAGCCGATGCCTTTGCGTGACTGCGTCAGACTGGCAGTACCCAGCACCCGGAGATCGGCAGCATCTTCCAGACCTTTCTGAAGGCAGGTTCGAGGGCCAGCCGCATTCTCTTTCTCTTTGGTGCAGAATTACCTTTTCCTAGAAACCATTGATTCAAGAACGTAGCAGCAGGATTCGCCTCTGAGAATTGAACTCTGAGTCTTATCTGTCAGCTGAGAAAGGCAGCCCCTCATCTCATCTGCTGGTGTTTTTGCTGTGTTGACAAACTCCCCACCAAACCTAGCACAGACTTCTGGACAAACATGCTGTGAAATGGAGCGGGGACGTGAGGTGAGCCCTAAAGCTCAGCCTTTGAGACCGTCTAAAATGCTGGACTCACGGCAAATCCGGGCAAGCCGGCCAGAGGGAGCACACTCGGCTGCCAGGAGCAGTGACGCAGGGCCACGAGCGACCCGCCCTGAGCCCAGGGAGCCCAGGGAGCCCAGGGAGCCCAGGGCCTCTTCACCGTGTCCAGGGCACCGGAGAGGGTGGAACAGCAGGCCGGGTGAGGATGGCTCACCGCTGGCATCTTGCACGGGCCTCGTCCCATCTGCACGCTGTGCCACGTGGGCCCACAGCCCACAAGATGGGACAAGGGACACAGAGGCCAAAGCCATGGCAACATGCCTGGGGGCCAGGGGCCTCACTGCGAGGTCCCAGTGCACAGTTCGCACTCCAGAGCGGTAATGCCCCTCCTCTAGCCTCCGTCCTCTGAGGGCTGCACAACACTGACACGCTCATCCGGTCACCGCTGTGCTCCTGTCACTTCCCAGCAGCCTCAGGGGCCCGCTAGGAGTCCTGTGGCTGCTGGGGGCCACTTTCTCATTCTTCTGGAACTTTCTGATGCCACAAGAGGAAAATTCCACAGCCAAGCTCACGTGCCGGGCCACAGTGAAGACGAAGCGCTATGCTCAGTGGTCCACACCCTAATGCCTCATCCCTCAGCGCGTCAATATGTCAGCGTGCAGAACACTCCCAGCCTTGAGCACTCAGTCAGAGGTGGCCTGTACCTCGGTCCTCCCTGTCCACCAAAGGCTGGCTGAAGCTCTGGTCCCTGAGAATGAAGACTTAGCAAAGGCCTCCTCTCAGTGCCCCTGGTCTGCCGTGAGGGAGGACAGCCGAGCTGTGCCCAGCCAGCCAGCACAGGCCGCAGGGTCATGCGTGTTAGACCAGGAGGCCGTGCACTGAGGCTACTGTCACACGCAGCCCTCCTGGCCACCCCGGTCCCCAAGCTTGCTGGGCCTGAGCCACGAGGTGCCTCGGCAGCAGGGCCATGCGCCAGCCCGGACCAGTGGGAAGGAGGTCAGAGGACAGGGCTTCAGGTCATCTCTGATTCATCCAGATCCATTGCCCCCTGGTAACACCCAAACTTTCTAGGCTAAAAGAGAAGGCAGAAACTCTCCAGGGACTTGGTAAGCGAGTGCTGAGCCACATCTCCAGCCTCAGTCAAAGTGACCTCAGGTCCAGCTGCTCCCGAACCCGACCCCCAAGGCTGAGAGGACAGACGCTGGTCGTCCAGGCCCTGAGCTGGGTCATCGTACCCAGCAGCTGGTAACAGACACGCTCCCAGACCAGCCAGGGCTGGGGGCGACTTACGAAGTCCCAGAAAAGCCCAGGAAAAAGGGAAATATGAGAGAACCTCAGCTTGGGGTCACGCCAATACGGAGACGGCGAGGGAGGTGGGAGACGGACAGGCCCTCCCCGTCCTAGAGGCCACGGTCCTCTGAGGTCACTGAGGAGATGGGGACGCGGCTGCGGGCCAGAGCGGGTGAGTGTCCCAGCACGCCTCACAGCCCAGGCTCCCCTCAGGGCAGGAGCGAGGTCGCGGAGGTCTGGCCAGGAGGTGCCGGGGAAGGTCTTCATTGGGGCCCTGAGGCTCAGAGACCCAAGCTAAGGCCCTGTGGGAGTCACCACCAGCCCCGGGACACCAGTCCGGCCAGAGCCAGAGGAGAGCCAGCAGGCAGGACCGCGCCCCGTGAGCACGGCCAGAGCCCCGAGCCCGCAGCAGGTCCTGCACCGCAGTCGCAGGTGCCCACAGCAGAAGGGCCTGCACATGCTCAGGGCCTGCGGGCCCCACGCCCCCGTGTGCAGGCCCAGGGGCCTTGGCGGCTCCTCCTGGGGAAGAGCAAAGGGGAGTGGAGGACGAGCGCCCCAGGGAGACAGCGTCCCTGAAGGCCCCACTGCCGGTTCTGGCTGTGCTGGCTTCATGTCTTCCTCCATGACCCCAGTGGGATGCAGGCTTGAGAGGGAAGTCACCATGTTGAAAGCAGCAGGACCCCCGCACCTCGGCCCATCTGACCTGGTGTGGCCCCAGCTCACAGCAGAACCGGGGACTATCAGGCGGGCCTGGGCTGGTCCAGAGCGTGGGAGCCAGCGAAGGCCCCAGGCCAGCCCTCTGCCCTCTGTGCCGGCTGACCCGGTGGCACCATGTCCCTTCTCACCCAGCTCACGAGCACCAGCTTCACAGGTTGGTGTGGGAAGGTGGCAGTGGCTTAGCCGGACACGCTGCCTGGGAATTACGCCCCACTCTGCATAAAGCCTGTCTCCGAGCCAATGACCGGCACACGCAGTCGCCGCCAAACACCAGGGGGACGAGGTCGTGGCACTGGCTTACCAGGCCAAAAGTCAACCCTTGTTTTATTGAAAAAACAAACACTTAGGAGGGACAGGCCCAGACTGCCCCGGGCAGACGCGACCACATGCCCCCCAGGCCCTGCTGCCCAGGGCCGGCCCAGGCAGCACTTTGGAGCTTGGCCTGACTGGAGCCTCCCAGGGGACCCTGTGCAGCACGGACCTCCTGGGGTCACTCCTCGGCCAGAGCGACCCTGACGCCTGCATCCCTGTGGACCTGTGGACGGGAAGGCGACCAGAGTCTGGACAGAGGTGTCCCTCTCAGCTCACAGGGTCTTCCATGAAGAGACTCGGCCCTCGTGGGCCTTGGTGGCATCTAACTGGTTTTTGGAGCAGTCGGGGCAGCAGCCGCTGAGCAGGGACCAAGTTCTACCCCTGCCTGGCCTGGCCCTGAAATCAAAGCCCTCAGGCCGTTCCCAGGCCAGAGCCCTTCACGCACACACACTCGGCACACACGGGTGGAGCCGGCTCACTTCATGTTCCTCTCGATCCAGTCTCGGAAGGGCAGCGCACTGGTGAAGGCCGTGGGCAGGGCGTGGCTGCATCCCTTGTCATACCCCCAGCTGGCCAGCCCCACCAGGTGCCAGCGTGGCTCCGGGGACATACGGCCCGGGAAGGATGCCACCGCCACACCCCCAGTCTCCGCGGGACAGATGTCGGAGGGCGCGCTGGGGTCCCAGCTGGCACAGAACAGGCTGTCGGTGACGCTCACGGGGACGCCTCGCTCCTCGTGCAGCTCCTCACACCGCAGCGAGTCCACCACCCTGAACACCCCCACACGCAGTCTGTCGTCCTGGTAGCCGGGGCTCCCCACGTCTGCCAGGATGTTCCAGCCGACCACAGTGATGCGCAGCTCCTGGAAGGACGCGCCGAGGTCCCGCGGGGCTGCGAGGCACACGGGCTGGACGTGGGTGCCGAGGCGGGCCTTATCCAGGAGCTTCAGGACCGCGATGTCGGCGTCGAGCAGGACAGGGTCGTAGCTGGGGTGCAGGAAGACGGCAGAGACCTGCAGGCAAGGGTGGCAGGCACGTGAGCTGCCCTGCCCCACAGAGGACCTCGGCCACAGGGCTGAGCTCTGGGAGAGAACCAAGACGGGCCGTCCCTGGAGCTGCCAGCTCAGGACCGCAGGGCTCCTGCTGGGCCTCCAGGGCGGAGAGACGCCTGATCAGCCTCTGGGGCAGAGAGATGCCTGTGGGCCTCCGGGGCAGAGAGATGCCTGCTCGGCCTCCAGGGCAGGGAGATGCCTGCTCAGCCTCCAGGGTGGAGAGACGCCTGATCGGCCTCCGGGGCGGAGAGACGCCTGCTCGGCCTCCAGAGCCTTGCACCGCTGGCACCGGGAGGCTGCAGGGTGAGGCACTGCTGACCACGGTGGGAGGTGGGCGGTGGGTGCGCCCTCCCCACAGCCCGCTGCATGAGGAAACGGCCGGCCTGAGCTTCCGGAGAACAGGCAGGAGTCTCTACCCAAAAGCCCGCTTGTCCATCGCTGGCCTCTGAAACCATGTGGTGGCCCTCTCCAGGCACCAGTCCACCTCAGCCAGGCACTGTGCCAGGCTAAGCCGTGGTTCAGCA